CCCAACCTTATAGCTTATATCTGCTATACTTAGGAATGAACGCATTCTAACTGAATGCCACTATGTTCATATTACAGATTCCCCAACCTCACTCGTGGCTTCATTTTAGCATTTAATTCAATTCCCAATCTCATTCGGGCCATGAAATTATCAATAAAGCACATTACATATGTGAAAACATGAATCATTTTTTACCCCGACCGGGACTCGAACCTAGGACTTATGATTACTAAGTCAAGGCGCTACCACTACACCACAGAAGGTTAAAAGGAACCCAACCTTATAGCTTATATCTGCTATACTTAGGAATGAACGCATTCTAACTGAATGCCACTATGTTCATATTACAGATTCCCCAACCTCACTCGTGGCTTCATTTTAGCATTTAATTCAATTCCCAATCTCATTCGGGCCATGAAATTATCAATAAAGCACATTACATATGTGAAAACATGAATCATTTTTTACCCCGACCGGGACTCGAACCTAGGACTTATGATTACTAAGTCAAGGCGCTACCACTACACCACAGAAGGTTAAAAGGAACCCAACCTTATAGCTTATATCTGCTATACTTAGGAATGAACGCATTCTAACTGAATGCCACTATGTTCATATTACAGATTCCCCAACCTCACTCGTGGCTTCATTTTAGCATTTAATTCAATTCCCAATCTCATTCGGGCCATGAAATTATCAATAAAGCACATTACATATGTGAAAACATGAATCATTTTTTTACCCCGACCGGGACTCGAACCTAGGACTTATGATTACTAAGTCAAGGCGCTACCACTACACCACAGAAGGTTAAAAGGAACCCAACCTTATAGCTTATATCTGCTATACTTAGGAATGAACGCATTCTAACTGAATGCCACTATGTTCATATTACAGATTCCCCAACCTCACTCGTGGCTTCATTTTAGCATTTAATTCAATTCCCAATCTCATTCGGGCCATGAAATTATCAATAAAGCACATTACATATGTGAAAACATGAATCATTTTTTACCCCGACCGGGACTCGAACCTAGGACTTATGATTACTAAGTCAAGGCGCTACCACTACACCACAGAAGGTTAAAAGGAACCCAACCTTATAGCTTATATCTGCTATACTTAGGAATGAACGCATTCTAACTGAATGCCACTATGTTCATATTACAGATTCCCCAACCTCACTCGTGGCTTCATTTTAGCATTTAATTCAATTCCCAATCTCATTCGGGCCATGAAATTATCAATAAAGCACATTACATATGTGAAAACATGAATCATTTTTTACCCCGACCGGGACTCGAACCTAGGACTTATGATTACTAAGTCAAGGCGCTACCACTACACCACAGAAGGTTAAAAGGAACCCAACCTTATAGCTTATATCTGCTATACTTAGGAATGAACGCATTCTAACTGAATGCCACTATGTTCATATTACAGATTCCCCAACCTCACTCGTGGCTTCATTTTAGCATTTAATTCAATTCCCAATCTCATTCGGGCCATGAAATTATCAATAAAGCACATTACATATGTGAAAACATGAATCATTTTTTACCCCGACCGGGACTCGAACCTAGGACTTATGATTACTAAGTCAAGGCGCTACCACTACACCACAGAAGGTTAAAAGGAACCCAACCTTATAGCTTATATCTGCTATACTTAGGAATGAACGCATTCTAACTGAATGCCACTATGTTCATATTACAGATTCCCCAACCTCACTCGTGGCTTCATTTTAGCATTTAATTCAATTCCCAATCTCATTCGGGCCATGAAATTATCAATAAAGCACATTACATATGTGAAAACATGAATCATTTTTTACCCCGACCGGGACTCGAACCTAGGACTTATGATTACTAAGTCAAGGCGCTACCACTACACCACAGAAGGTTAAAAGGAACCCAACCTTATAGCTTATATCTGCTATACTTAGGAATGAACGCATTCTAACTGAATGCCACTATGTTCATATTACAGATTCCCCAACCTCACTCGTGGCTTCATTTTAGCATTTAATTCAATTCCCAATCTCATTCGGGCCATGAAATTATCAATAAAGCACATTACATATGTGAAAACATGAATCATTTTTTACCCCGACCGGGACTCGAACCTAGGACTTATGATTACTAAGTCAAGGCGCTACCACTACACCACAGAAGGTTAAAAGGAACCCAACCTTATAGCTTATATCTGCTATACTTAGGAATGAACGCATTCTAACTGAATGCCACTATGTTCATATTACAGATTCCCCAACCTCACTCGTGGCTTCATTTTAGCATTTAATTCAATTCCCAATCTCATTCGGGCCATGAAATTATCAATAAAGCACATTACATATGTGAAAACATGAATCATTTTTTACCCCGACCGGGACTCGAACCTAGGACTTATGATTACTAAGTCAAGGCGCTACCACTACACCACAGAAGGTTAAAAGGAACCCAACCTTATAGCTTATATCTGCTATACTTAGGAATGAACGCATTCTAACTGAATGCCACTATGTTCATATTACAGATTCCCCAACCTCACTCGTGGCTTCATTTTAGCATTTAATTCAATTCCCAATCTCATTCGGGCCATGAAATTATCAATAAAGCACATTACATATGTGAAAACATGAATCATTTTTTACCCCGACCGGGACTCGAACCTAGGACTTATGATTACTAAGTCAAGGCGCTACCACTACACCACAGAAGGTTAAAAGGAACCCAACCTTATAGCTTATATCTGCTATACTTAGGAATGAACGCATTCTAACTGAATGCCACTATGTTCATATTACAGATTCCCCAACCTCACTCGTGGCTTCATTTTAGCATTTAATTCAATTCCCAATCTCATTCGGGCCATGAAATTATCAATAAAGCACATTACATAAAAAATGATTCATATATATATATATATATATATATATATATATATATATATATATATATATATATATATATATATATATATATATATATATATATATATATATATATATATATATATATATATATATATATATATAAGTGCTAAATTCCATTCCCGGTTGGGGTAAAAATTAGTCATATTTTAAAATATGTAATGTGCTTATTTGGTTATTGTTGATCCTGAATGAGATTGGAATTTGAATTAAATGCGAAAACAAAACCACTAGTGAAGTTGGGGAAACTGTATTATAAACAACATGGCATTTAAATAGAATGCACTCTTTTCTACTGTAGCAAATAATAGCTATAAGGTCTTTTTCCTTTTAACCTTTTTTTCTGTAGTTGATAGCTCCTTGGGTTAGTAATTATAAGTCCTAGGTTCAAGTCCCAGTCGGGCTAAAAATTATTCATGATTTTACATATGTAATTTGCTTATTTGGTTGTTGTTGGTCATGGGTGAGATTTGGAGTAGTATTAAATGATAAATAGAAACTACGATTGAGGTTGAGGAAACTGTACTATGAAAATAGTGGCATTCAGATAGAATGTGTTCATTCCTACTGTCCCTGATATAAGCTTTTAGGTCTGTTTCCTATAAAACTACTGTGTTGTAGTTGTTAGCGCTTTGGCTTAGTAATTATAAGGCCTAGATTCATGTCATGGTCGGGATAAAAATAATTCATGTCTTCATATATGTAATGTGCTTATTTGGTTATTGTTGTTTCACGAATAAGATTTTGAATTGAATTAAATGCGAAAACGAATCCACGAGTGAGGTTGGGTAAACTTTAATATGACTATAGTGGCATTCATATTAAATGCGTTCAATCCTACTGTAGCAAATATAAGCTATAAGGTCTATTTTCTCTTAACCTTCTGTGGTGTAGTTGGTAACTCCATGGCTTCGTACTTATAGGTCAAAGGTTCAAGTCCCGTTCGGAGTAAAAATGATTATTTGGTTATTGATGGTCCTGAATGAGATTGGGATTTGAATTAAATGCAAAAACAAATCTACGAGTGAGGTTGGTGATTCTCTAATATGAACATAGTAGCATTAAGATAGAATGCGTTCATTCCTACTAAAGCAGATATTAGCTAAAAGGACTGTTTCTCTTTAACCTTTTGTGGTGTAGTTGGTAGCGCCTTGGCGCAGTAATTATAAATCCAAGATTCAAGTCAAGGTCGGGGTAAGAATGATTCATGTTTTCACATATATAATGTGCTTACATGGATATTGTTGGTTCCGAATGAGATTGTTGTAGAATTAAAAGCGAAAACGAAACCACAAATGAGGTTTGGGAAACTGTAATATGAAAATTGTGGCATTCAAATAGAATGCGTTCATTTCTATGGTACCAGATATAATCTTTAATGTCTGTTTCCTTTTAACCTCCTGTGTTGCCGTTGATAGCACCTTGGCTTAGTAATTATAAATCCTAGGTTCAAGTCATCGTCGGGGTAAAAAGGATTCATGTTTTCACATATGTAATGAATTTATTGGGTTAGTGTTGGTCCCTAATGAGATTGGGAGCTGAATTAAATACGAAAACGAAACCACGAGTGAGGTTGGAGAAACTGTAATAAGTCATAGGTTCACGTCCCAGTCGGGGAAAAAATTATTATTTGGTTATTGTTGGTCCTGAATGAGAAAGGAAGTTGAATTAAATGCAAAAACAAAGCCACGTGTGAGCTTGGGGTTACTGTATTATGAACAAAGTGGCATTCAAATAGAATGCATTCAATCCTACTGTAGCAAATATAAGCTAAAAGGTCTGTATACTTTTAACCTTCTGTGGTGTAGTTGGTAGAGCCTTGGCTTAGTAATTATAAGTCATAGGTTCAAGTCTCGGTCGTGGTAAAAATGATTCATGTTTTCACATATGCAATGTGCTTATTTGGTAATTATTGGCATGGATAAGAGTGAGAGTTGAACTAAATGCGAAAACAAAACCACGAGTGATGTTGACGAAACTGTAATATGAACATAGTGGCATTCACAGAGAATGCGATCATTTCTACTGCACCAGATATAAGCTTTAAGGTCTGTTTCCTTTTATCCTTTTGTGGTGTAGTTGGTAGCGCATTAGCTTAGTAATTATAAGTCATAGGTTCAAGTCCTAGTCGGCTTAA